GTGAAATAAGTATTTGATCATCTATCAACCAGTAAGAATTTTGGCTCTCACAGACATGTTAGTTGTTCTTTAAGAAGCCCTCCTGTTCTCCACTCATTACCTGTATTAACTGCACCTGTTTGAGTGTGTGGACAGGTGTCTTTTATACAGGTAATGAGTGGAGAACAGGAGGGCTTCTTAAAGAACAACTAACATGTCTGTGAGAGCCAAAATTCTTACTGGTTGATAGATGATCAAATACTTATTTCACACAATAAAATGGAAATTAATTATTTAAAAATCAAACATTATATTTTTCTGGATTTTTGTTTTAGATTCCATCACTCACAGTTGGAGTACCTATGATAAAAATTACAGTCATCTACAAGCTTTGCAAGTGGGAAAACCTGAAAAATCAACAGTGTATCAAATACTTGCTCTCCCCACTGTACATCAGACAGTTGCTTTTAGCAATCTTTAAAAATCCTTTCAATAAGCCCTACAGCTAAATTAACACCCGACTGAAAAAAAAAACTGGAACAAAAGTCTCTCTTTTTATTTTCCACCTGTAGCCTGAATAAAATCAATATTCTGTCAGAGCTAGGTCTCACCTGTGTTCTGCTGTGAAACTGCTCGATCAGAGATGGCATGACGGCAGCTGTAATGATGTAACTCGCCCTGTTGGAGGCGCTGCAAGAGGCCTGGAGCAGTTTGGCACTGGGCCATACGAGCTTCAGGTCAGGCTCACACAGATGATGCTTACAGTCTGCAACAACACCACACAAAAGCTGTTCACGTTGTTCACTACAGTCAAGAGTGTCTTCTCCAACGTGACACATTGTAGAAGATCCACTGACACCTGGAAGATCTGAACCAAAGCTACAAAGCTGTCTTTGACAGTTTAAGTGAAAAATGACCAGGGTTCGACAAGATGTTTTTTTTTACCTGCCCGACAAATGTTATCAGCCCGAAACAAAAATGTTCAAATTTTGATAAAACAGGTAAAACGTGTACCGTGTTTGTACTACAAAAACATTAACATGGTTATACAGAGGTATATAACATGTGACATCTGATTAAACAGATGCAAACATTTTAGACCGAGTTACTAACAGTCTATTATTTTATCAAGAACATCTTCAAAAAAACGTTTTTAGACCTTTCCAGTGTTTCCCTAGTGTACTGGCCTTGGGGGCGGGGCTTATGAAAACAGAATGATCAACAGCAGCAGCTTTGTTTTAAATATAATTTACAGAACATGAAACAGTCTGAAATTTGCATAAATTAAATCTTATATAGTGACTCTCATATCCAAAGATACATTTAAGATATGTTGAACTGGAGTCTCCATACAACTTGATGATAAATCTAATGTTATTTATACATGTCAGAATATAATTAGAGATATCTTAAATAGGTATTTTGAATTGTCAAAATGTATTAAGAGATGTCTATTTATTTGTTTGTTTGTTTTTAATGCTGTACATAGATGGTTTTGTTTTTATGAATGAAAAAAACAAAGTAAATCATACCCTGAATTAAAAGGGTGCAGAGTTAAGTAAAAAAAAAAACTATCATATGTGTCCCTTATTCTCAAAAATCAACTTCAACAAACAAACAAGCTCAAGCTGGAAACACCTCCAAATCAAAAAAAATAAGTAAATAAAACAAAATAATAAAAGAAAACATTTTATTATTTATCCTAAATAACTTATATGTCTAATCTAGTCATAAAACAAATTCAGATAACTAGAATACAGTGGGGAAAATAAGTATTTAGTCAGTCACCAATTGTGCAAGTTCTCCCACTTAAAAAAGATGAGAGAGGTCTGTAA